CGTTGGCTCCCTATGGCGACCATTGGCGCAACCTCCGCCGCGTCACAGCGCTTGAGGTGCTCTCGAACTACCGTCTCAACAAATTCTTGGAAATGCGAAGAGAGGAGGTGAAGCGGCTGGTTCAAAAGCTTGCTCAAGAATCAGTACACAAGGATCAATTCCTCAAAGTGGAGATGAAATCAAGATTTTCAGAGTTGACTTTCAACATTATAATGAGAATGATTTCTGGCAAAAGGTATTGGGGAGACGACAACGAGGTTGGGGATGTGGAAGAGGCCAGAAAGATTCGACAGATTATAAAGGAATTGGTGTCGCTAGGAGGGGTAAATAACAGCGCAGATTTCTTGCCCATACTTTGGTGGTTTGATTTTGGTCACTTGGAGAAGAAGCTCAAGGGTTTGGCCAAGAGAGCCGATGGGTTCTCTCAAGGACTCATTGATGAGCATCGACGCGCAAAGCAGAGAGCAAATACTATGATCGATCATCTCTTGAGTCTCCAAGAATCACAGCCTGAGTACTATACGGATCAGATTATTAAAGGCCTCATATTGGTAAGTGAAAGTAAAGAATGCTTTTACCTTTTTATTGCACGCAGTTAGATATCTTTTGATTACATTTTATTAAGATGTGCTTGCATGCAACCTATGTTGAAGTTGATAACTTAAAAGTTTATGTCATATGTAAATAACCTCCCTAACCTTTAACACCTTATAATGAATCTCCCTGAAATTTTGCATTCATGCATATAATTTCCATACCATTAACTTTATTTGTTATTTATTTGCAAATAAACTAAAATTTATGGGTTTGTATGCATATAATTCCAAGTTTGAGAGGTTATATATGCATAAAAAAGCACTCATCTAGTCCTATTTAATGGGCAAAGAAAGAAGATATTTTTTGGTCCTCTTTATAGGGCACTAAGAAATTTTTTTTATACAGATATATAATTTTATCTTTTATTTATTATTATATTAACTTTATTTACATGAGGTATAATATATATTAAATAGGAACAAAGTTGAAAAGTTGTTGAATTTTAAATGAGTTAATAAAGGTTGGAGTTTTCTTTAGTCCATATGAAACATGTTGGAAGTAAATATTTATAAATAGGACAAGAAGAATAGAGTTTTCTTTGATTAGTTTGAAGTTATTTGCATAGACCTGATAGTTTAGGGGGATTTGTTATTAAGTTTCAAAGGTTAAACATGTTATTTGTACATTTTTAATTAATATATCTCGTGAAAGGTTTTTTTGGCCAGTACATATATTGTGAAAGGATTAAGTAAATAGGAAAAGGGAAATATCTATCGAGATAGACAGTGGGTGTGGGAGAGTATTTAATTCGATTTTGGAAATACAGATGGACCCCAGGATAAAAAGGGAATTGCATAACTGTACATTATGAGCAGTGCAAAACTCTACAACATTATGTCTTTGTACACACACACAAAAAAAGCCCAGATAGAAATCATCGCACAATTTGATATTGATCTCGCAGAACATGTACTTTTCTTTTTTTTTATGGTCAAGCAGAACATGTACTTTAGATCACTTAGCTTTTAATTAAGAATTTGCCTTCTCCTTTTATTGCAGCATAGCGCAAAATATACTATATACATTAAAATCGTAATGTGACCACTTACTCAATTTACTCTAAAAGTTGATTATAAAATTTGTATTCCCTGATTTTGATTACTTTGTTAATTTTGACTTATAGGTCATGGTTTTTGCTGGAACGGATACTTCATCTGTGACTTTAGAATGGGCAATGTCAAGTTTATTAAACAATCCTCATGTGTTGGAAAAAGCAAAGAAAGAAATAGACACACATATAGGGCAAGAACGATTAATAGATGAGCCAGAAATCTCAAAACTTCCATACCTGCAAAACATTGTCTCTGAAACACTTCGATTGCATCCTGCCCTACCATTGTTGATTGCACATGAGGCTTCGAATGATTGCACCATTTCAGGATATAATGTTCCTCGTGGAACTATTGTGTTAATCAATGCTTGGGCTAACCATAGAGATCCCCAGTTATGGAGTGATCCAACGAGTTTTAAGCCAGAGAGGTTTGAGAAAGAAGGAGAAGCAAACAAGCTAATTACATTTGGGTTGGGAAGACGAGCTTGTCCTGGAGAAAGTTTAGCCCAACGAACAGTGAGCTTGACTTTGGGATTATTGATTCAATGCTTTGAATGGAAACGGGTAAGTGAGGAAGAAATTGACATGACAGAAGGAGCAGGAGCCACCATGCCAAAAGTTATTCCTTTAGAGGCCATGTGTAGAGCACGCCATCCAATCATTAACATGCTTCTTTCTTAAAAGGTTATCCAGGATAACCAAGTTGAGGAATTATGTATCCAAAGGCTTGGAATAGTAGGAGTTTCATGCTATATAAATGGTTCATTTTTAGTATTTGTTACAATCTATTGCAATAAGCGATGGGAATATCTACATGTACAAGAATAATTTCCTTCTAGTTCTGTTTTCTTTCTTTTTTTTTCCCTGCACAAACCACAGTAATATAGTATTAAAACTCAAGTTTGGAAGTACATAGAATTCAAGAAAGGAAGCAAAACAAAAATTAATGCAGCCCAAGATATGAGCAGACAGAACCAAGTCGAAATACAAAACCATGAACAAGGGTAGCACAGAAAAAGCAAAAGAAAGAGGACAATCCAAGCAACTCCGAGCCACCTGGAAAAGGTTAAGCAGGGATGGGGGTTTTGTAACCCAATCAAGAGAGCACATCCCTTCAAAAGCTGTGTAGGAGACATATCCCACAGGTGAATGAGTTAATCTAGGATTCCACTTGAAGCTACCTAGAGCATCAAAACACCGTTTGAAAGAGCATGGAATGCCTATTAAGTATCAGTTTTACTATTAGTCAGTAATCACAACATCAATCTCCATTGGCTCTCTCACCGCTTCTCACCTCTGATTTCTTCTCTCCGACCACCACCTCCATTTCATTCTCCATTAACCATTGTCACTTCCGGTCCGTTCTCATCTTCCATCTCTTGCTTCGGTAGCTGCGATGGCTTTGGAGGGTTTGTTCTTCGGTGAAGCTACAGACCATGCTATGTATGGCCAAAATCCCATTCATTGGTGGTGAAAGACGAAGCGATAGGTAGAGTTCCATGGACGGATAGTGTCACGTCCTAAAAATTTAAGGTAGACCAGCACTAGTACAAAATATTATATTCGTCGTCAATTAAAAATGCATTTCTGCTACTGCATAAGAGATATAGTAGAAATTGGAGTAGGAGAAAAAATAGATATTACGGTGTTAGGGAACTGACATCGATAAATGAATTCATTTAACTTGATAGTTATACTACCATTTATAATATCATGACTATTATATTATAATAACTTTAAGCATGTATATACCATTTATAATTCATACATATAAACATATTGTTGGCAAATATTTATATATATATATATATATATATAGCATATTTCTTACCATCAAATTATTAAGCATTTATAAAATTTTCTGCAGAACCTTTACTATAAGTTGGACTTTCCCAAAAGTTATATGATAGCTTGTTGTTAAGCTTACAAAATTCATATTATTTCAACACATTTTTCTTTAGTTGTTATAATTTTTTGGTGAATTAATGCATACTTGGAAGTGCTTATGATGGGAAAATATGCATAGTTAATAATTGGGCTAAAGTTCTTAACAAACGAAAATATTGTTTGCTAGGAAGAATAAATGAATATAGTGCATCTATTTTCATCTTTTCTAGGACAAATATAAGGTGTCTATTTTTGTTTGTTTTAGCCGGAAGCCAAGAACAGACCAAAATAGGGTACTATATTTTCGTCTGTTCTAGCTGGGATAGACAAAAATATATATATATTTTTAAAATAAATTGTGAATTTTTTATATTGGCAATTTTTATGTAACTTGCAGTTGTAAAAAACACGTGCAAAATCAAAATAGACAGCAGTCTAACAACAGTGACAGCCATTTAACATAACCAAATCATATGTCACTTTCCATCTAAATAATCCACAATTGTAAGAGTGAAAACAGTGATAACAAGTTTATATAACATCCTACAGTAACATCCTAATTAAGCATCCTAACACAAGAAAGTAGTTTAATTAATATAAAAAGCCGTAAAAATATTGTTATAACCATTATGGGATATTATTCATGCACTTATTGTGCTCCCAAAAGTATAATCTACTCCTATTTATTAAACTTTGTAATATGATCTGTCCTTAGTCTCGTAATACCGAATTAATGTCATTGCCATTTTCCTTAAACTCTAAGAATTTGTAAAAGCCATTTAATAATATAAAAAACCTTTTGCTACCTAAGTTGTAATAGTTTAAACTAACAGGAAAAGCTTGAGCTTAAAACCCCTCCCTTTTTTATATAGATAATATAGTGATAAGTTCATATAGTAATCGAGTTTTGTCACTCAGGATTGTTTAATAGAGAAGACATTGTCCATTCTAAAGTCACAGTTGATGTATCCGTTCCAGCCAGAAGCATAACCTACAGGAAAAATTAACAAAACAACATAAAAAATTAGACTTAATTTAGTGAATGCTCACACAATCAGGATTTTACAGTTACTACATTTTATTATAATACGATGACTTTTGCGGCTGATATAAAGATTTGTAGCTTAGCAATTGTCCTTTGCTGGGAAAAAAAAAAGCTTCGAAATGGATCTACACTTCCAAAATCCAATCAAATCTTGAAATAATTCCTTTTCTTCATGTATTTAATCCTATCATAAGCAAAATAATATTTGAACAGCATTTAGATCCTATAATTTTTTTTTTTCATTTTCACTGTTCTGTTAAGAAGTTATTGCAGCATTCTCGAATTCTTCCAGGTTTCAAGCACATCTCAAAGAAAAAACTAAAAGATATCACATTTGTTAGAATTAAGTAGTTATTTAGTTTTCTTAATCTACTCAAATCAGTTAAGTAAATCTTACCTTAAGCATTGAATGAATATTTCTTACCCATATGAGGCCCTCAATAATCTGATCTCTATGGTACTCAGGTTGTGTGATTCTTGGAGACTCAGAAGATGATCGATCATAGAGTTTGCTTTGTGCTTTGCATTTCGATGCTCATCAATGAGCCCTTGCAGGGACCCGTCTATTCCCTTGGCCATACTCTTGAGCCTGCTTTCCAAGTGATCATAATCAAACCACCTCAATATGGGCAAGTAGTCTGCAGCGTTATTTGCCCCTGCTATTGGCACAAACTCATGCATAATCCCTTGAAATTTTCTTCCCTCTTCCACATCCCCAACCTCATTGTCGTCTGTCCAATACCTTTTCCCCAAAATCATTTTCATGAGAGCGTTGAAGCTTATCTCGGAGAATCTTGATTTCATCTCCACTTTGGTGAACTCTTTATGTGAGTCTCGAGCAAGCTTTTGCACCAGGCGCTTCATCTCGCGTCTCTTCGCATTTCCAAGAATGCGTTTAGACGGTGGCTCGAGAGCATCTCGACTACCGTAATGCGACGGAGGTTGCGCCAGTGGTCGCCATATGGAGCGAAGTCTATGATGGTGCAGTTGTAAGAAACATACTGTCCGGTAAGAAAGCGGGGCCGATTCGCCAGGACGATGTCGTTTTTGTTGAAGCATTCTTGGACTGCGGACGGCGACGAGACAACGACGACAAGACGAGAGCCAAACCAAAGAGAAATGATTTGGCCATAACGTTGAGAAATCCGGTGAGGGGCACGATGAAGTGGCTTTTTCAGTTGGTGGAGATTGGCGATAAAGGGAACAGAAGGTGGACCAGGTGGGATGTTTTTGAGCTTCTTATTTTGAAGGAAGAGCTTGGGAGTGAAGAAGAAAGCAAGAGAAAGAAGGAAATAATGGAATAAGAAGGAGCTCATGATTTTTCGATACCTTCTTTGGGAAGTTTAGTGATAGGAACGGGTTTGGGTCAAAGAATACATGTGATATTTACGGCTGCTTGTGTCTCGTTTGAGCTTACGCAATACTAAGTATAACTAATTTGCAATATTTAAAAAATTAGTTCAATAATTATTTATAATAAATTAGTATTATCTTTATCAAAATATCTTTTTTAGTCATATGTAATAGAATGAAAAACTTTGAATATTGCAATCATTATGGGCATTACTTTGAAAAAATGAATGAATATAAAAACAAAACAGATTGAAATCTTATATTTAGAATCAAATTAAATATTCAATTAGCTATTATATTTAAGATCGAAAGTAGTATCTAAGTAAATGCTTCCATTAATCTTAGATCTAAGGAATGTCCTACAAAAATCAGAAGTTCAAGTTACTTCATTTGATACACATATATATTATATATACTTTTTTCTTTTTATACATGAACTAGTTAATTAATTTATAAATATAAAATAAAATTAATATGAATTAATTATTTGTAAATTATTTTTTTTATAATACTAGTTTAATCATCTTCATTGAAACTCTACTCTACTTTAATTGAAATTTTTTTTAATAGGTGTAATCAATAAGTAGAATTCATAAAAAAAATTACAAATTAAGGCAAAATGATTAAAATCTTATATTTACAATTAAAGTAAATTTTTTAACTAACTCATGTGTATTTAGGACATAGGATCGGGAGGAGTATGTGTTTATTATTGCTCCTTAGTTAAATTAAGTTAAATTTACTAACAAGTTGTTGGTTGAGATGGTAAGGGATCTTATCCCGTAAGGAGAACACAAATTTGAATTGTGCTCATCACTCAATAAGCACTTTAGACCATCTAGATCTGATCTGGACAGTAGAGATTTAATATTTTTAATAAATTATTTTTAAGTAAAAAATTATTTTTTAAGAAAATAATTAAGAGATTATCTTTATTTTAGATTCTATATCCACTAAGATAATTGTTTTTAAAAAAATAAAACAAAAAATTTCATTTAACCTCTCACTAGATAATTAATATTAGTCAACTCTCAAAAATTCTAAAATTTCATTGCACTCCCAAGGACCAAAATTTTATGATTGAAAAGATAAAAATACCCTTGTTTTATTTTGGAGTTGTTAATTTTCTTATATTCTTACAAATCATTGAATTTTGTTGTTTGAATTGTTTGTCACTTATACCAACAATAGTATTTTGGGGTTGTGAATTTTATTATATATTTTTTATAAATCATTAAATTTTAGTTGCAAATTGCTTAACTTTTATTGTAAATCGTCAAATTTTGAATTTTGATAATTTTAGAATTTTTTGTGAATGGACTAATATTAATTGTCTACAGTAGCAATTGAATGAAATTAACCATAAAAAGAATTCAATCTGAACAAAACAAATTTTGATGAGTTTAGTTGCTCATTCCTACAATACTGATTGCGCTCGTGAACATGGATCTGGTGGATTGGTTGTTAGAATATAGAGATGAACTCTTCTTCGACTTTTGTCGTGTCGTGGCGTGGCGAGGAGCTAAAGGCTCTTGAGGGTCGGCAAAATTTGTCTATTTCTTGGAATTATGTCGTTTTGGTTTGCGCCGCGTTTTTTGATGTAGATTTTGACAAGGGTCTTATCTTGTCTGAAAGCAGGGCAGACTACCCAGTGCCTATATCATCACCCTATCACGTGCTCTGTTCAAACTGGGTCCCCCACAATTGACACAAATCTCACGAATAATGCCAAATATTTTTGCTACTTCTTGATTAAAATAAGTTAAGTCTTTAAATTTTTTTTTGAAAAAATAATTATCAACTTAGAACTTAGAGAAAATTGCAAATAAGGACTCGATCTCAAATTGTAAATATAAAATCTTAGTGAAATGTCTGAAATACCCCTCAATAAAATGTGATTTGGCTTACTGAAATTGTTATTCACTAAAATGAACTTGTCAGTTTTCATAGTCAACTTGTTATTTTGCATAACCTCAGTCAAGTTGTGATTTGGTCCACTGAAATTGTCATTTGTTAAAGTAAATTTGTCATTTTTCCTAGTCAACTTGTTATTTGACTGAGGGGTATTTCAGACGTTTCACCAAGGTTTTATATTTACAATTTGAGATCGGGTCCTTATTTGTTATTTTCCACATTAAAGGTCCCAAATCATAATTTTACATATTTAAAAGTCTTTATTTGTAATTTTCTCTAGAACTTATTATTATAAACTTTTATGTTGTTATTGAGATTTTTTTTCATAATTATGCTTCTTATCTAAAATTTTGTACCAATTCTCCTAATTTTTAACTCAATACAATCTTTTCAATTCTAAATGATTAAATCTTTAATAATGTCGAAGAAATAGTTTAGTTTTTATAATATTTTCTAAAATATAAGAATTAATATTTTAAATGATTTAAATTTAGTGAAATTAAATTGCGCAAAATCAAAAGTTAGGGACTCAATTTTAATTAAATCAAAATTATAAAGATTAAACGATTATTTTGTTTTAACAGATATAATGTTAGGCATTTTTATCAACACTATAAAAAATTTCTCTCAATATATTATTAAAACAATCATTCAATTCGTCAATTCATAAATAAATGTTTGTTAGAGTTCTATTTCCGGCCTGCTTATCAGTTAAGAGGTTAAACTTGGCCATATTGATATTTAATTTATCATGTTCGAGCAACACACCTAATCAGTTAAAAAAAGGGGCGAAAAAGTGCATTATGCTACTCATGCTCCAAGAAATTAAATTGATGAGCACTATTCTAACCATCCAAATTAAAACTGGAAAGGTCAGATTTAATTTAATGTTACCTAATGTTTATATTTTTAATATGTTTTTATTTTTAATAGATATAGAATTTGAAATAAAAATAATCTTTTAATTATTATTTAAAATTAAAAATGTTAAATATAACCATTTAAATCGGTTTTAGATATTCATATTTGACCACAATTGCCTTAAAGTTACTATAATTTGTAGAGCTGGTAATATGAGTTGGACCTGCGGGTCCAACCCGCCAACCCACCAAAAAAGATGGGTTGGCCAGCAAATAAAATTTTTAACCCGCATTGTTTAAACCCATACTTACCGCAAGTTAGCTCACCAACCCGCAGATTAACCTGCGTTTTTTTTTTGGTATTTTTTTGATTTTATTACTTATTATAATTATTATTATATTTTATATCCTATCTAAAAAATTAAAAAAAAAACCATTATCATTTATTTGGTGTTTTCAATCAAATACTTAAAGGAAAAAAAATAAAATTTCATTATATTTTATTTACATTGTATAAGAAAAATATTTAAAAATGACAAAATTATTTTTTTTAAAAATAATAGTTGGCAAGTTGGCAACCCACCATGACGAGAAGCCAACCCGTTATTACATGGGCCTTGTCAACCCGCGCGACTTAACCTTTTGTTGGTTGGTCCATATTATCACCCTTAATAATTTGTCAGTTTCTATATATGTGTGCGCGTACGCACACTTCGAACTTTGGTCATTTCAAAAGTGAAAATGTGCATGTTTACGTCTTATTATTATTATGGAATAAAAGACGGCGTGAAAATATTTAGAGTCTAGCTTCCTAAAGAGAGCCTAGAATACAATTTTCTAAGGCGAGAATGGCTTTGTATTCCACAGGAGCAACATTTATAATGACAGTTTCATAACATCCATTTGATAACCTTGGCCGGCCAAAGAATCGAAGGCAAAAGTCTTGTCACATGTTAGGAGGTTGTGAATACATTTGATCCAGCCATTGAGAGGATGACGGTGAGTTAGGTTGCTATTAATAAATTGCAATGCTTCTGCACAGTGGCTAGAGACAATTTCTTTTCGGTAATTGTGATTCCAACTTAGGTGCATTCCTTCATTGATTCCCATAATTTCCGCAGCAATATATGGGGAGTGTATCCTCGTTTTTTAACAAAACAAAGTTTTCAAACTGCCTCATTGTCTCAGAGCGGGTAGCTTCATCATTCCAACACACCTACTGCCCAATCTCAACCAACTTTTTTGAGGAGGAATTCATATTTAGAGAGTCAGTATAGGATGGGTCGAGGATGTTTTTAAGAGATTGAAGCTTCTCAATAATTCTCTAATCAATATTTATCTTTCTTTTTTTTTTTATGGTAGTCCTTGAAATAGTTGCGCATGTTAATATTTTATCAATAATAGTTCTACCTAATACATGTATTAGTAAGAGTATTTTATGAAAGACAACACCTATTTATTACAATAATTAATTTAATTAATTTTTAATCTACTTAAATTAATTAACTAGTTCTCATATAAGTACATGAGGTAATACTAAGTATCCTTTCATATGCCCGAGCACACATGAGCGAAGAGCTTTTGCTAAGGGATT